CTACAATTTTACTAGTAAGATTAGAAAGTTATTGGGTCATGGCCATATTACTCTTTAATTATAGTTTAACATAACCACCCTCTCCTTTAAAATCCGTATTTTATATATATACACACACATACATATATAAAATTTTGTAATTATTGTACAATATACATCAGTTAACACTAATCAGACTTTCAGTTTCTTCTTAGTGAGATAGCTGAAATAACTGAGATGCCTGTCTTCAACAGGCCTTAAACTAGCTAATCGCATCAGGTAACTTCACTTATTACAAATAATTTTCAAATCACAACTCCAAAACTTAATCCCTATAGCTCAGCAAAACACACACATATAGGTATAGTTCACCAGCCGTGAACCTTATACAATTAATGCAATTTTAGGCCTCAATCCTGCAAATGCACACAAGTAGCTTTGTTCCCTGCGTAGTTGCATTGGCTTCTACAGAATTACTTTTATGCCTAAGTGTTTGCAAGAATCGGGCTCAAAAATGCAATTACGATGAGACACTGTACTCTGTTTGCTATATAATAGCTTTTTCACACATAAGCAAAAACTCACCTGTTGTTTCAGACTTTTTATTTGTTCGATGGCTGATACTGGTTCTAACTGCTGGATGTTGAGAGCTCCATGAAGCTTTTGCTGTTGTGCTGTCTTTGATGCTGTTAACTGTAATGGAAATTTTTCAAGCATTTCTCTGGATTTGAAAGAAAAACATGTCTACTGCTCTAGGTTAGACTTAAGGACAAACTAAAAGTTAATAGAGTGAACATTGGGAACTACTTGGGATCTTTATTGCCTCCGTGCACCCAGATGCTACCAAACAAATGTCTTTAATAGTGAGCAAAATGCATACATATAAAACTAATTAATATGAATGTAATTTAAGATAAAACAATGGGCTCAATCCTCAGATGATCGCTTTAGTGATTATATCAACTGAGACTCTGGCTTGTTTTATATTAAGACAAGTTCTCAAATCAATGTGAGCTAGGATATAACGTAGGTGATAATGAACAATCATTAAATACAATAAAGGAAGTAATGACCATCTGGATTTTTGCTGAAAGTCAACAAAAAGTTATTGCATATATCTATATGAGTTGAAGAGGCTTGTGTATATATGTATTGTGTATTAATATACTTTCAAATACTACATATTTTGTATAGGGCAAATATACATTAATATTTTTCCGAAATTGATTTTCTTAAGGACTACACAATAAGTATTGTTGTGGTTTATCTAGTTGAGAATTATGTACAGTTAAATATTTTTAAAACAGCTGCTAAATATTTAGGGTGAAATTGTGGCCCTGGTGAAACCACTATTGCTTTTGACAATGACTTCACCAGAATCTCACCCCTGGAAACAAATAATTTCCTCTTGAGAATACATTTTAGATTTTCAGGGTTGTAGTTTCTCCTTTTCCTTTCAAAAATGTAATGGAGAACAAAACAACATTGTGGGAAAAATCATTTTTAACAAATCTTAGCTTTCAGTAAGTAATTTAAGGGGAAAAAATTAAGACAATGCAAAAACACAAAGGAAAACTACTAGAAGCAATTACAAAATAGTTATTGACATATTATTTATCAAGACTTTCATGATGTGAAAAAAAAGACTTTACTTTACAGTACAAGTAGAAAGAAATTTTAGAACAAATCATTGTGCAGAAAGTTATGCATCTCTACCTGCACAGACCTGAAAGAGACAAGTCCACACTGTTTCCCTCAAGTGGGTAAATGTTAAGAGAGAAGAATCCAAGTTTCATGATGCAGCAGCACAAAAGCTGGGAAGTGAAAATTATGTTGCACCAGAGTCTTGAAAATATGAATGTAAAAGTTAATCAATAAAATGTCTATTTCTGTCTATTCACTGGGGGCGCTGGCTGCATAGCTTCACACAATCGATACTACAAATTATTACGATTTCCAGGTTCCCACTGGACATTCTGAACAAATCTTTCTAGTATAACAGGCTTACATTGTGGGGTTGTTGTTTTTTTCCCCTTTTTATTTATTCTCAATGAACTGAACGTAAATAAAACAATCCTGTGACTTCTTGCAACTCTCAAATATTTCCTACTGATTAGACATTTTACAGGTCTTAAACACCGTGGCCACTAAAATCAGAAAATATTTTGATGATTTCTCACTTCTATTCTGATAAATACCAATGAAAACATTGGACTTTTTTTACTCCTATCCAATCATTTTATCTTTTATCACTTTCTTGAAAAATAACTTTTTAACTTATGTTTTTGCAGCAGGAAAATAAAAAGCATTCAGGAATAGACTCTTCCCCCCAACAACAGCTACAGCATAAAGTTAGCCTTAAGACCACTGTGGTGTGAAGCTTTCACCCACCCCTTTATACTGTCTTGCATTTTCTTCATGTTCAGCAAACCAAACTACCCTCTTGCCTTCAAGCCAACTACATTTACCTCAGCAAGTAGGAAGGTAAGCCAATACCAGGACTGTATGACTTTCACAAAGTCAGCTGCAAGAGGATGATACACTACATGATGTACCTTACACATAGACTGTGCATCACCTCTATGACACCTCAAGCACCAGCAAACCCAGGGGAGAGAGATCCATTGTCCTTTCTCTCTTCCAAGAAACAGATCATAGCATTATCTAATCAGCTATTGACCTGTCCACATGACTCATCTTAAATAAGTAATAAAATTGTATTTTAAAGAGGGACAATAATATTTAAACATGTCTGAATTTCTGTAGTTGTTTTTTTTTAACTTTATTACACTAATCTTGGCATAACTATTAACTATTGAATATAGTTACTTAAAAATAAGCTAGCAAATACAACAAATACTTCTCCCTCAGCATAATTCTGCAGTAAAGAGTCATAGTACTTTTATAAAGCAATGTCACAACTAAGAAATTAGAATTTAGCTTGAGGGTTAAAAGTGGGAGCAAATAAATCTACCTTAATCTCTCTCTGACTGAAGGTTCATTTCACACATTTTACTGATGCAACTACAAGTTCCAGATACAACTGAACAATATTTCTGACTATAATAATCCAGACTGCAAGCTGTAGGTTAATTTACCAGTTTTTCAAGTTAAAAGGCAGTTTTGCTTTGTGTATGTAATTATACTTTTACATTAAGTGTGTTTCATGTGAGTATTCTAATAATCTTAATTTGGCCTTCTGTTCCACCATTAACAAGCTTCATTTTAGGTAACAAGTTTTGCAAAATTCTTCTATCTGTCGTTTTGTTACACCACCTATTTCAGGGTGCTGCGACCTTTTCCATATCAAAACCTCACATTCAGTCCCTCACAACTGTTCCTTTCAGATATGCATCAGATGCCTTTGTTAAATAGGTTTCAGAGGAACAGCCGTGTTAGTCTGTATTCGCAAAAAGAAAAGGAGTACTTGTGGCATCTTAGAGACTAACCAATTTATTTGAGTTAGTCTCTAAGGTGCCACAAGTACTCCTTTTCTTTTTGTTAAATAGGTAACCCCAGGTACTTGAAAGGAAGTGCTACAGAAAGTGGCACAATAGTTTATGAGGTTTGGGCAACTGAGAGTAATCAGTTGAAAATGGGTGAATAAACCCACTTTCACAAAAGATTTAAGAGATATAAGGAAAGCAGATTTGTGATGTTACCCATCCCAGAGAAGTATTGGTGATACCCTTAGGGATACAATCTACAGGTTGAGAACTACTAAGCTATTTTATGTAAAGAAATGAGGACATTTCTTGTAGATTGTGTTTTTCCATGAAGTGTGCTCCATTTCCAACAGACAAATCAACTTGTAGTATTTGAACTATAAAAAGGTAGAATATTTAAAATGTAAAAAATCACTTACACTGAACATCAAAAATTACAGCATTATTGTGTTTAATTATATAAAGGAAAGGGACCATATTTTGATTTTAGAAGCACAGTGCTTATTACCACTAATCTCAACAACACTGCTATCAGAGAAGTGGATTTTTTGAGATATGCTCTATTGCTTGCCACATTATCTTAGATAAGAATTTTGGTCTACAAGTTCAGTCCATTGCTATATGAACAGATTTATTTATTTATTTATATTCGGCTAACCTGTACAAAGTGTTCAACTGTACTCCATGATATTATAAAACAGCTTGCAATGCCTCTCATGTCGAGTTAGTGATTACTCAATGTAACAAAACTTCAGTGAGTGAAACTATTTATAATACAAACAAAAGACAAAAAGCATTCAGCTAAAATGAGTCATTTTCACAAAACTCTAGATCCTGAAAAGATGAATAATTAATCAATTTTGACTCATATGAATAAGAAAATACCTTTTTTAAAGTTTTACTGATTTTAGCAAAAAACCCAAACCCAAAAGGTTAGTACTTTTCAATTAGAATTTTTTCTGTAAATATTAAGTCTAACATATTAAGTCTAAATTTGACCCGTGAGAATAGAGAACTACAATCACCAATAGTAAACTTTTATATAGTACAGTATGCAAAAAAAAAAATGTTTTCTTTAGCTTATTTTAGGAACTTCATATGTGTCTCATTGTTGTGACTAGAAGTTCAAACTCTAAATTTACTTAATTTGATAGCGTCTTGCTTAAAGGCAGCTTCTTTAACGAAAAAGAAATACAATAAGAGCCATATGTAACCTTTGGACTCTAAAAAAGAGGAAGATGAGAATGTCATTGGCAGATGGACACTGTATAAATACAATGGATTATTTTTCTTCAACACTCACACCTTTTACATTTGTAAAGAAGTAAAAGAGATAACGGATACTAGTATGGTGGCTTTTTTTAAAATCTTGCATTTTGGTCAAGAATAAAGGATATTTTACAGCATACATGAATCCACAGTTTAGATTTAACAGTTTATTCAATAGATTAGCAGCACAGCCTTATACCACACCTTACCTGAGATAAACAATACAGTATTTATCAAAAGGAATTACTGTTGACTTTAATGTCTTGTGTTAAAACTTCCTGAAATGCTAAAAAAGCAGTCACTCACTTGTAATCCCTAATTCCTTCTTCAGAAGCTATAATACGTTCTCTCAGGGTCTGCAGCTCTGTCTGTGATTTTCTACTGCTCTGTTCTTGGTGAACTGTTTCTGTTATTTGCTCACTTAGCTGCTCTTGAGTTGCTTTCAAGCTGGATTCCATTAGAAGAAGTTTTTCATCTTGACTGGCAAGTTCTGGAGCTGAAAGATTTAAAAAAGCACTGCATTTTAAAATCAAACCTACATGACATTTTTGTTTTAAATATAATACACGGCAAGTCCCTGTGAGAGCTCGACAAATACTTGTTTTCAGCAGAGCTTCATTCAGTTTCCAGATATTTCAAAGAAAATAAACCACCACCAATAAATTAATAGCTGACCTAAGTATCTTCACATGCACTTCAGTAAAGTCAAATAAAGATAATTTAGTTCAATATTTTTGAACATTAAACTGCAATCAAATCCTACCAGATATGTAGACATTCAGTAATTAACACCTTTTTCAGGCATAAAGCTATTGCTTTAACATTTCATAATCTAATTTAATCTAGTATTTATTACCTCTCTTTTGAATAGCTTACAGTTCCACAATTCAAACACATACAATTTTAACTGAAAATCTTCTGTTTCATTACATTTTTTTCATGAATTATAGGGTACACACATAGTATAAACACATTTATTTCCCAAGGTCATCCAATAGATGGCACTCTTTCATTAGACCAAAAGAAACCATAGTAGCTTGCTACCAGCTCTCTCAGAAAAATAAGTGATTCAAGACAAAGACATTTTTCCTTTGTTCTTTGTGTACCATATTCCTAAAAAATATATGTACATAGGTTTCAATTTAAATATTTGCTCCTTAGCACATATGTATACATATATATGTAACAGATTTTTATATCTTTCCATAGGTATATGCTTCAGAGATGTATGTGCACATTTAGCTATGTAGTCTAATTTAAAGTTATTGCGAAATTAAATTGATTATTGGAACAAGCATTTTCCAATGAAGGGTACTGTATAACAAGAGGGCCTGTAACTAAGGGGTATTTAGAGGATTCCAAACCCTGATATTAAAAATTAACAAATATTAAAGTGCTTTTTAGTAGCAACAGCTTAGTAAGAGTCATAACACATAAGTTTATACTACCATAGAAAATGTTTTCCTTTTAATGATCCTTTTAATGATTAATTTAGTGTATTGTTGAAAGAGTGGTATGTATATTAAGCTTCAGTAACGTTGGTAACTGGTTTGTGCAGCCTTACATATAAAGTAGCCTTTAAAGAAAGAAAGTGCCAGTACTCTGTCAAAATATTCTACATTTATCACACACCTTTGTCAAAGAGTATTGCCCAGATACACAGGATCTAAATGCAAGTATCTAATTTACCGTTACATAGTTATTTGTGTATTCTGAAGAGTCGGTCAACTTCTTTAAATTAAAAAAAAATAAGTGGTCTACTGTTTTCTCCTCATTAACCCCCCCCCCCCCAAAAAAATCCCCTCTCCCCAATCAAACAAAACCCAGTACCATTTCTACAATTTATGTAGCTTAAAAGTGCTATATATTAACTGTTTAAATTAGTGCCTTCAGAAACCACACAGCTAACCTGAACAGCTAAATATTTAACAAGGAACATGTATCACTCATAGCTCATCTTTATTAAATCCCAACTACATCTGAATCTCTGTGAACAAATGAGTTAAATGTTTAATAATTTCAACACATGTTAAAATATGGAGAAAATCTAATAAACAACTTATAACAACTTTGCTTTCAAATTTTAAAATAAACCCTTTAGGCTAAAACAATTTTAGTGGAGAGAAGACCTAGCTGCCATCATTCAACAAGAAATAAATGGGAAATCAACACTGTCTTGGTACAGATGATTTCAGATAGACTACTTGCACAAGTAAAGTTAATCATCTGTGTTTTTGGGCCCTCTGTTTGGAAACTGAAAACATATTAAATGCAATACTTACTACCTCTATTTGAGATTTTTCAGTGTTAAGTTTTGATTTTTATCTGTAAAACAAAACTTTGAACATCAAGTGAGTTTTATTCAAATACATGATTTACAAAGTTAAAGTTAATTATGTTTAAAATATTTGTATCTGTACCACTTAGAAACATTTTTTAAACATTTTTTTCAAAGTTTTCAGAAGTTCTCTATGGATATATGATCTACTGCCTGGAGACAAAGGTAACTTGTAGCACTTCTCTCATATGTGTATAATAGTTTTGATTTGTAAACATATCAAGGTATGTGTATTTTCTAAGTGGCATGCCCAGTCTAAGTGATAAATTTGATTTATTTTTCATGGTTCTTGAAGAATCTACTCTAATTCACAGTGTTCTGGTAAAAAAAGAGTTAACTTATTTTAGGTTTACCTATGCCTTGGACTTGAGCCTTGGTTGATCCCAAGCCAGAGGCACTAGCAGCTGCATGCTTTATTTACAATCTCTTTGTCAGACTTACAACTGCCCCAGGCTATAACATAGTGTACCTAATGTTCAAACTGGCAGGTAATCTTATGTCAAACATACTTCTTTGATTTAAAGTGATCAATAGATTCTTGTAAAGAGGTAATTTCTCTGATGTTTCCACCTTGCCTTCCTTACAGGTGATTCACACAAAAGCCTGCTTATATGATGTACGAACAATAAACAGAAAGCTATAATCATGTTTTTTCAGATGTTTCCGGTGCACAACGATTTTGGATCAATACCCTGTGTAATACAATTATCTGCAATGATCTGGTTGTATTGAAAAAGAATTTGCAGCAGACCTCTAGGGGGTTTTATCCAGAAACATGTATCTGGCAATGTTGTGAATAGTGGAAGAGAAAATTAAGGGGTTGACACAGGCTGTCTATTATGTTCCCAATGACTTCATTAATATTTTATTTGGTAAAAGTAATATTTCAAAACTTTACTATACCATACCTCTATAATATTAATAATGCCATCTGCTTATTGAATTTGCTTATTTAGAAAAACAGTTCTAACATATATGTAAGTCTGCAAGGGCTCAAAGTACTAGGCAAAAATAATTTTAAGTAGATTATCATTCATTGCTGAATGGCTGCTTGTACTGTACAATTCAACCTGCAATACTTTTTGTAACTTATTTTGGTTTTGTGGATAATATCCACTTAAAAAAAGCTTTATGTCTTCAATTCATGAATGTGTTACAGATAGAGGTATACAATTCTATATAATGGGCATTAATCACACCAGATCAACGAAACACGACACTAAAACAATAACATTAATATAAAAATTGATAGGTTCAAATTATAATTTCTGTTGTCAGTGAATTTGCCGGAATTAGACAGAATTAGATTTTTAACTAAATTTTTACAAATACATTCAGTATGTGTAACAATAAAGTATTCAGGTATGTTTATTTAGTTTTGATAAAGTTGCTGTCTCCAGCTGCAAATTCATCCTAAAGCAGAGATGGGAACTTTTTTGTATTCATTTGATTACAGCAATCATATATCCAGGTGATTGAGAATTCTATTCTATTAGACTGCACCAAATTCACATTTCAGTAATATTACTATTTTTGTACATTATTACCTGTCTCTCTGTACTGCTTATGCACATCCTGCAGTTCCTGATTTAGCTGCTGAATCTCAGTTCTCAGTATGATGGCTTCTCTCTTCTTCTGATTCTTTTCTTTCTGTGTGTCCTGGATACTTGCTTTCAGTTTCTTGACCACACTGTCAAGGTGCTCCACCTCAGCAACTTTAGCTTTGATACCTTCCCTTGCCTGCAGGAGATCAGCTTCCGACTTTCTCAGAAGGTCATCTCTTTTGCGTATTGCCTGTGAAGACAAAAAAATTCCAATAGTGCCTTTTATGATGTACTTTTTATACTGCATCCTGCTATTTTGAGCTATAGGATACACGAAATTATACAGCATCTCATTAGCAACTGGGTCAAATACCCACATCTCCTCTAAGATCAAAAAGTTACAAGGAATTTAAGTTATAAAAAAGTGTTGAAGAAAAGATTTAGCATTACAATAAATATTTCATTAAATCAATACTTATAAATCCAAAGACAAAGAAAAATATTCCACATAATTCTGACAGTAAGAGAAAAACAATATACTTTGATCTAAATGAATGTTTTTTCTTTACAAAAAATTAAAAAGAAATTTCATAAAAATAAAAAAGATATTTAACCTCTTGGAGCCAACATCTACAGTGCTCTTTGGACTGGCACTATAGCCAACGACTGTAGATTAATATGCACATAGGGAAATCCCAGCACCAAATACATAACAATACCATTCTATTTTTTCCCCCAACTATTTAAACTTACTATCCCTATAAAATACAATAATTATAACATTTTAATTCTGTTTGTTTTAATGTTATTTTAAGATGCCATGTAGAAAATTTTGTCTTTAAATTAAGAGAAAAAGGTACTCTCATTTTAAACTGCGTGTACACAATTTTTAAAACACATACTGCAATTTTATCGGTTTAAGTTTCATATCAATCATTATTGGGTATTCATGAATGACTGTGCTTTATTGGCTTTATGCCACACCTTGATTCTCTATCATGTTCCATCTTGCTTCTTTTAATCTGAATATTTAGTACTCTTTCATGTCTTAATTACAGCAAATTGCACACAGTTGGCACCATTTCTTGAAATTAATCCCAGAGTACTTTGTTTCTGTCAAGCACAGTCAAAGCCTTAGAGAATAATAGTAAATGTTATTGCAGATCTAAATTTAAATGACTGTCTATGTATTTAACTTAAGCCTTTAATTATTCGTGCTGTACTGTTTTTGGTTCAAAATGTTAAACATTCTTCATTGAGAATGTAAAATTGGTTCAGACAGCTTGAAACCTGCAATGTTAACATGACAACAATTATTTGTATTAACATATTTTTTCAGGTGTGTAAAACTTCATACACAGTAGATAATATCCTGTCATAGGTAAAGATTCTTATTTCATTCTATTGCTCCAGTCAATAATAAATAATAAAGTTTAAATATAGGGAAGATACTGTTCTCTCTTTTTTTTAACTCATTTCCTTGTTTTTGTATTTTTGTATTTTTTCCTGCTGATTGTTAAATGGAATCAACATTGTTTCACTGCTAGTGAATCTTCAAAATGTTTGCCTATAAAACCAGTAAATTAAAAACATCTTCTATAGACTCTCTCAGAGAATCATAAGCCTTTTTTAAAAAAAAATGATTCTTATAAGAGTCAATTTAACAACGATAAAAGTACAAAAAACAGTATCAGGAAGTATCAAGGAAACAATAATGAGTTCAGCTTATTTTATGTTTCAACAGTACGGATATTATGTCACAAATTAAAAAATAAACATTTTTCACTGCATGTATGTTTTCACATAGGAAGCATTCACAGACTAATGTAAAAAGTGTTGGCCTATGTACCTTTGCTTCCATAGGAAAAGTACCGTTTGGTAGGTCTGTGACACTGAAAATAACTATAAATGGGATGTGCAGTTAAAAATGGCAAATATATTTCCTAAAATCTCTACAGACATATCAGATGAAATCATACTACTGTATTCTTTTTATTTTTTATCAACATGCATTTTGAAAGAATTGTTTTCCCAAATGCAAACATATCTTCGATTTAGGGACAATCAGAGAAGTATGTACTTACAAAATTTGTGATAAACTATTTTTTCCTCTAGAATTCATAACAAATATATATGTGAAGTAATGTATACCCAGCTCCCTCGTATCCTCTTTTGCAATGTGATTTTTCAAGAGAGAGCTGTTTTGCTCATTCTCATAGCAAGAGCATACCTGATCTTTTTTACAACAAAGTTCCTTGGCATCTGTAACGTCCCTTTCAAGCTGTGTTATCTGCTGTTCTAGCTGAGCAAGTTCCACTTTGTGTTTCTGCTGGGAAGCTATTACATCCAGATGCAATGACTGCAAGGTCTTCCCTAGCTTTTCAGTTTCAAGAACAGATTTTTTTCTGTTGGTCAAGTGCATTAGCAGCTTCAGCTTTTTGTTGCCATATGATCCGCTCACATTCTTCAACTTTGGAAGATTTTTCATTGTATTGATATTTCATTAACTCAAGCTTCTGTTTAAAATTAGAAATTAATGTGCATTATACCAGATGTCCTGATTCAATTAGCTATTACTTAAGAAACATAAATTATAGCCCAGTTTCCACATTTCAAAAGTTTAACATGTTGCCACTTGTGTTTTGTGCACAGTTTTAATTGAATATGAATATTTGAAAAGATTTGTTGGATTTATATATGAGTAAATTCCCATTTGTAATCATAAAAAGCAGCCCTATACTATTCATCGCCTATAGAAAGTTAGATAAAATATTGCTATGCTTTAAATTCAAAGTTAAATTGCTCATAGCATATCAAGTTAAAAACTAACCACTAAGTTTCTAAGCTTGCTACAAGGTATTTATTTACCTTTTGTAAAGACTCAGTATGTGCAGCTACTGCATCAAACTCTTCATTGAGCTGGTCCATGACTAGAGTGGTATTCTGTCAAAACAGATTATAGTAGAAATATGGCATTCTCTTTTTCAGAAACCTTTAAACAGGACAGAACATATTTTCATGCACATATTTGATAAAATGAAGATCAACCATTAATAAAAATAAATAAAAATCACAGTGCAGCATTAAAAAACCCACCTCATTTTGATGACAGTCAACTTTATCCTTGGACTTTTGAATTATTTGTTCATGCTGTTGACTGTATTTCTTGCTGCTTCTTTTTTTTTTTTTTAAGATCCTCTTGAGTGGAATGTAGTGCCTTTGTTTGCTGGTCAATCCTGTCTTTGAATGTCTCAGTGTGGTTGTATTTTTCTTTATACCAATGCTGGTAATTCAACATTTCAACTGCAAGGGAGTGAATGGCTTTCCTTTTTCTAATCAACCTGTCTGGCCAACATCACAAGTAATGACATAACCAAATAAAATATTATTGTGTTAAAGAGATTAAAAGCACCCAGGTAACTGTACATAAGAATATCTGTAATTCTTTCAATTATGATATTTTCTTAGTTCCTAACCAAACTATTCAGTTCTAATACATAAATGATACATCTGAGTTAAGGCTCCTTATGTAAGATATCATTTTTGTTTCTTTAAATATTCAGTGATTTAATATTTCAGTATGGACTTTTTTTCGTGTATTGTGTTTGCTTTTTAGAATACATATTAAAGTTGTGTTCCTTAGTTTCTCACAGTAATCAATAATTTTTCTGTTTCATAAATGATGTATTTCAGGACTAAAACAATACATTCTCTAAATATGTAGGTGAGTAAGATAAATACTTTATCTAAACCTTATAGATGTATTACAGAGGTGCTCACTGTAGTTCACACTTAAGGTTGAGTTCCATTTATTATGTATTTTAAAATAATACAGTATCTTCCTGAAACTTACAACACTTGAGTACAGAACAAATTTTCTGATAAATTTGTACATAATTATATTAATTTATGAGTTAAAAATAAGTTAAAACTGGGTCTTTTAAGAAATTTAGCATTGATGTCAGTTGCTTTGTCCTGAATTGATCTTCATAATGGAATAATACAAACTCTTCAAACTTTCCGTATAGTTAGAATTAATTGAAATACTGGGCAAAGGCTATAGTAGAAGAAATGAGGTTGTAATTAAGATAAATAATTAATGTTGTATCTAACAGTTAGGATTACGTAGACTACACACGAGGCCACGTCAACAGCTCATTAATTCTAAAGTGGAGCCATTGTGCCATCAAAGGTAACTGAACCAATCACCAACTTTCTTCTAATTTTGCATACAATAACTCTCTTGGTTGTAATGAATCAGTGGTATGAGGGAGACTAAACATATATCAAGATTACTTGGATGCACTCTCTAACAGTTCTGTGGCTCCATGCTGCTTTAGGCATCAGTGATTGAAAGCTGCGAAGAGTTCTGTGGCACCTTATAGACTAACAGACGTATTGGAGCATAAGCTTTCGTGGGTGAATACCCACTTCGTCGGATACATGTAGTGGAAATTTCCAGAAGCAGGTATAAATATGCAAGCAAGAATCAGGCTAGGGATAATGAGATTAGTTCAATCAGGGAGGATGAGGCCCTCTTCTAGAAGCTGAGGTATGAACACCAAGGGAGGAGAAACTGCTTTTGTAGTTGGCTAGCCATTCATAGTCTTTGTTTAATCCTGAGCTGGTGGTGTCAAATTTGCAAATGAACTGAAGCTCAGCAGTTTCTCTTTGAAGTCTGGTCCTGAAGTTTTTTTGCTGCAGGATGGCTACCTTTAAATCTGCTATTGTGTGTCCAGGGATACTGAAGTGTTCTCCTACAGGTTTTTGTGTATTGCCATTCCTAATATCTGATTTGTGTCCATTTATCCTTTTTCGTAGGGACTATCCAGTCTGGCCGATGTGCATAGCAGAGGGGCATTGCTGGCACATGATGACGTAGATTACATTGGTGGACGTGCAGGTGAATGAACCGGTGATGGTGTGGCTGATCTGGTTAGGTCCTGTGATGGTGTCGCTGGTGTAGATATGTGGGCAGAGTTGGCACTGAGGTTTGTTGCATGGATTGGTTCTTGAGTTAGAGTTACTATGGAGCGGTGTGTAGTTGCCGGTGAGAATATGCTTCAGGCTGGCGGGTTGTCTGTGGGCAAGGACTGGCCTGCCTCCCAAGGCCTGTGAAAGTGAGGGATCATTGTCCAGGATGGGTTGTAGATCACTGAGATGCGTTGGAGAGGTTTTAGCTGAGGACTGTATGTGAAGGCCAGTGGAGTTCTGTTGATTTCTTTCTTGGGCTTGTCTTGCAGCAGGAGGCTTCTGGGTACATGTCTGGCTCTGTTGATCTGTTTCATTATTTCCTCGTGCGGGTATCGTAGTTTTGAGAATGCTCTGTGAAGATCTTGTAGGTATTGGTCTCTGTCTGAGGGGTTGGAGCAAATGCGGTTGTACCTCAGCGCTTGGCTGTAGACAATGGATCATGTGGTGTGTCCGGGATGGAAGCTGGAGGCATGAAGGAAGGCACAGCGGTTGGTGGGTTTTCGGTATAGGTCGGTGGTTTTTCGTAACCATCCTTTATTTGCACCATGGTGTCTAGGAAGTGGACCTCCCTTGTGGATTGTTCCAGGCTGAGGTTGATGGTGGGGTGGAAGCTGTTGAAATCATGATGGAATTCTTCCAGGGTTTCCTTCCCATGGGTCCAGATGATGAAGATGTCATCAGTGTAGCATAGGTAGAGAAGGGGAATGAGTGGACGAGAGCTGAGGAAGCATTGTTCCAGGTCAGCCATAAAAATGTTGGCATATTGTGAGACCATGCGGGTGCCCATAGCGGTGCCACTGGTCTGGAGATGTATATTGTCACCAAATTTGAAATAAATTGTGCGTGAGAATAAAGTCACAGAGCTCAGCAACCAGTTGTGCTATGGCATCATCAGGGATACTGTTCCTGACAGCTTGTATTCCATCTGTGTGTGGGATGTTTGTGTAGAGAGCCTCTACATCCATGGTGGCTAGGATGGTGTTTTCTGGAAGATCACCAATGCATTGTTGTTTTATCAGGAAATCAGTGGTGTCATGGAGATAGCTGGGAGTGCTGGTGGCGTAGGGTCTGAGTAGAGAGTCCACATATCCAGACAGTCCTTCAGTGAGACTGCAATGCCTGAGATGATGGGGCGTCCAGGGTTTCTGGGTTTGTGGATCTTGGGTAGTAGATAGAATAACCCCGGTCGGGGCTCTAAGGGTATGTTGATTTGTTCCTGTGTTAGTGTCGGGAGTGTCCTGAGTAGATGGTGCAGTTTCTTAATGTGTTCCTCGGTGGGATCTGAGGAAAGTGGCCTGTACAATTTGGGATTGCAGAGTTGTCTGGCAGCCTCCTTTTGGTAGTCAGACCTGTTCGTGATGACAGCAGCAGTGCTCCCAGTGACGAAGCTACCACCCCTTGTTGGAGGTGGTTTTATTTTGTCAGCGGGAGAGCTCTCTCCCAGGAATAAAGTGCAGCTACACAGCACACCTTACAGCCACGCCATTGTAAGGTGTGCAGTGTAGACATAGCCTTAGAAATACAGCTAATCTTGATTTATGGACTTCACGTGTATGGGGAATGCACCATATTCCTCAGTATGTGTTTCAATGGTTAATTATTCTCCCTGCTAAAAATGTGGACTTTTCTGCTGAGCTGAGTTGGTCTAGCTTCAACTTAACATAAGAATGGCCATAATGGGTCAGACCAATGACCCATCTAGCCCAGTATCCCATCTTCCAACAGTGACCAATGCCAGGTGCTTCAGAGGGAATGAAAAGAACAGGCAATCATCAAATGACCCATCCCCTGTTGTCCACTTTCAGCTTCTGGCAGTCAGAGGCTAGGAACCCCCAGAGCACGAGGTTGCATCCCTGCCCATACTGTCTAATAGCCATTGATGGACCTATCCTCCATGAATTTATCTAGCTCTTTTTTTAACCCTGTTATAGTCTTGGCCTTCACATCATCCTCTGGCAAAGAGTTCCACTGATTGACTATGCATTGCATGAAAAAATACTTCCTTTTGTTTGTTTTATACCTGCTGCCTATTAATTTCATTTGGTGGCCCCTAGTTCTTGTGTTATGAGAAGGAATAAATAACACTTACTTATTTACTTTCTCCAAACCAGTCATGATTTTACAGACCGCCATCATACCCCCCCTTAGTTGTCTGTTTTCCAAGCTGAAATGTCCCAGACTTATTCATCTCTCCTCGTATGGAAGCTTATTATCTATCCCTTTCCTAATGATTCCCAACATTCTTTTAGCTGTTTTGACTGCTGCTGCACATTGAGTGGATGTTTTCAGAGAACTATCTACAATGACTCCAAGATCTCTCTCTTGAGTGATAACAGCAAATTTAGATCCCATCATCTTCTATGGGATCATAACTGGGATTATGTTTTCCAATGCACGTTACTTTGCATTTATCACCATTGAATTTCATCTGCTATTTTGTTGCCGAGTCACCCAGTTTTGTGAGGTTCCTTTGTAACTCTTCACAGTTTGCTTTGTCCACTTGTTGGTTGACCCTCCTCAAATAATTTTAATAAATTGGTGTGGCATGATTTCCTTTTACAAAAGCCATGTTGACTCTTCCCCAATAAATCATGTTCATCAATGTGTCTCGTAATTCTGTTTTTTGCTATAGTTTCAACCAATTTGCCTGGAAAAAAGTTAGGCTTATCAGCCTGTAATTTCCAGGATCACCTCTGGAGAAGCTGATTTAAGTGATAGGTTGCATACCACACTTAGTAGTTCTGCAATCCTTCAGAACTCTTGGGTGAATACCATGTAGGCCTGGTGATTTATTTAATTTATCAGTTTGTTCCAAAACCTCCTCTATTGGCACCAATCATGAACTTCCAATCATTGTACCTCATTATACCTTTTTCTGCTAGATTAAAGAGCCCTCTACTAACAGAAGTCTTTTCTCTATCTAGGTACCTTAGATCAGATCAAGTCACTTCTTA